ACCGTGTGGATGGGGAGCGTGGTGCTAGAGCGCAGGTGAAGAGAAGAGGAGGCGGAGAGGCCGCATTCATGAGGTTGTCTTGGGCGCCACTGTAAACAGCCACTGCGCCACCACGAGGCCACAACTGAAAAAAAAAACGCTGAAGAGGCGTGGCAAGCCTGCCCTTCTCCTTGTGTGTGGCGATGCTGGGGATTATACAGTCGTGCGTCCTTCGCTGCGTATCCCTATCCCTGTTTTATACCCACCTCTGTGGCGGGGAACGTGGCATCAGCTGTTTTTCAAAGGCAGATAGTATACGCGCCATGACTGCGTTGCTGCTTAATCCTTGGTGTGAATATAAGAAGGGCGCGATGTAACGCTGGTGGAACACGGCGGTGTTCGCCGTTCCGTTCGCCATCGTCGGTTGATGTGGGTGTTCAGCATTTGTGGGCTTAGCACACGACGACAAGGGGTGGGGTTCGGGCAATCGTCGAAGGGATCCCACGGCCTTCGGTGCAGCTGTTGGGGGCTGGCAACTAAGCAGCAAGTCAAGTGGGTCTTCAGACTTCAGCCACTCTTTGGACGCGTGCTTGCTGTTTGAGAGCTCCTTGCGCTCTATTTTGCCTTCTCTGCGGCGTCAACCGCTTCTGTGAAGGTCTTGCCAATTTGTTCTTTGTGTAAGTGGGTAATGGATTCCCTTCCATTGTTTTATATGCGAAGCGTACCTTTCTGCGAGCCGGTGAACCGCAAGCAATGGCTTCCTCTCCTCCTTCAACTCTGCTTTTGATGGCTTGTGGCGTGCTTGCGCCTCATTAGCGCTGCCCCGCCCAGGTTATATTAGAGGCAGGGGAAACATGACGTGGACGGCGCTTCGCGTTGAGCGGGTTCTGGACGGCATTGCTGCGCTCCACAAGAGGAAGGACGCCGACCGTGTAGAGCACCTGCAACGAGAGAATGAGCGACTGAGCAAAGAATTGTCCGAAATGGAGCGGGTGCACAAGGCAGCCGTACAGGATCTTTCCGAGAAGGGGTTGAGAATGGAACGGCTGATGCGGCAACTTTTATCCGAGCGCAGTCGGTTGACGGGGGAATTGGCGAAGTTGCGTGAAACAAAAAGATCCCTTGAGGGCATACTCAATTCAAGGGCCTGCTTAACGGAAACTTCATCGAAAGCTGATATGGCCGTGCAAACGGACGCGCTGCGCCCACTTGCTCTCCTCAACGAACAGAGCACGCAGACGTTTTACGAATTGGAGGACGTGGCCGTGCAAACGGACGCGCTGCGCCCACTTGCTCTCCTCAACGAACGGGCCACGCAGACGTTTCACGAATTGGAGGACGTGGCCGTGCAAACGGACGCGCTGCGCCCACTTGCCCTCCTCAACGAACGGACCACGCAGACGTTTTCAGGAAAGAACTCAAATTCGTCCATGAATCCTGTGACTGTAGCTGAATTGACGTGTCAGTCGTCGTTTTTTTTAAAGGCGAAGATGCCTTCAGTAACATATACTTACGGACTTGCGACTCCCACTTCAATTCATTACGTTAACGGGGCCGAACGTCTCGCGCTCGCCATGTATGCTGTTGGACAGTGGGTTGAGAGCGTTAAGTTTGACATTCATAACTCAGATTATGTTTTTGTGGGTTTGAACGTGGAGGGGTGGTGGCAGTGGCGGCGGCAGGCGCTGGGACAATTGGACGCGGCCACTGATGTCGTCAGGGCCTACAGCGATGCTGCCGATCCGTTGTGGTGGTGTGGGGCGTTGGCTTCTGCTCTTTTGGATTTGGACGTGGAGCGTAATATGTCAGTTGGAGATTTTCTTGTGGCCAGCTGTGGTTGCGAGGTGGGGGCAGAAACAGCCTGCAATCCAGTTTCGCTTAATGAGATGGTGGCATTCTTAACAAGGACCACAAGCTATTGCTTGTTGGTGACGAAAAAAGACTCAGTCCTTGGTGATCACCTTGCGCTTGTACTTGCGGTTTCTGTACTTGAGAATGAGGCCTTATTTTATATTGTGAGACCCGGTGATGCTGCTGCAAAGGGTGAAGAAACCGCTGGAGGGGACTCTATGCACACGCTAATAGGTGAGTGGCGTTGTAGCCGCGAATTGTTGACGCAGTTTGATCTCTTTCAAACGGTGAGGTGCTTCCCACAGGGCGCGAATCCGGAGATTCGCTGGATGGACGTCGTGGAGGGGCACTTGACGGCCGTGTCGGTGGGGCTGCCAGAGGAGGTTTCGCTGGTGCGCGACACCATGCACGCCAGGCTGTTGGATCTCGCAACCTCTCTCTGGTGGCCAATAGAGCCAATTCTACGCGAGGGTAATGCTTTGATGTTTTTTAGTCCCCTTCTAGAGCGCGCCGCCGCCGTTGTTGTTGTAGTGAACGTTGATGCAGCCACCGTTCGCCGCCTTGACCTTCTGCAGGCTTCGGCGAAGGAGTTTGGCTTTCCAGGAAGCCCAAAGGCGGTGATTGTTCAGGTTAATGGACAAGAAGTATGTACGAGTCGCCTCACACTGAACCCGACGTTGGAGCGAGAGGCAGCACTGAGGGAGGGGAACGTGTCTCGGTCCGCTCACTTTGCGGAACCTGAGCCCGCCGCCGGCACCGGGGATGCTGAGGAATGCGGCAGTGTTGTTGGTAGTCGCAGGGGCGACAGCGGTGGGACTTTTGGAGGAGTCTCCTCACAGCACTTGATTACTGCAGCTGATGCAGACGCTTTTTTTCAGATGTTCCACAGAACGCTGGCGATGCATTTGGAATTTATGGTGAACTACATGGACCTTGTCTTCCGACTCCTCTTATCCGTTATGTGGCTGCCGTCGCCCGGCCTAATCGAGGAGGGCCGCGCCGTTGCAACGCCACCTATGCTGAGCGCCACCATTGCTCGGCAGCATTTGGAGCTCGCCGCAATGAGAACTAGAAACACCTCTGTGAGTGGGGCCTTGTGTCGTGCTGCGGCTGCGTTGGATTCAACCAAGGCGATGATGAACGGCTTAGAGGAGGAGAATGGCGCCCTCCGGGCGGAATTGGCGCGGTACGCCTCCGTTTCTGAGGAATTGCGCCAGGAGACTCATGCCAAGGAGGAACAGTTGGCGGGGGCCGCGAGATACTGCGGCGCCGTCGAAGAACAACTGCGTCTCGCCATGACTTCCTTCCTGCAACTCCGAAGTTCTGCTGAGGATATGCAAAAAGACAACTTTATAGCGACGTCTCAAGCGAACAGGAAACGAGGCCCGATGGGGCCCCACGAGGAGTGCTCCCCCTCGTCCTCAGAAACGGGTAGCTTATCGTAGCAAAAAGCAGAAGAGGAGGAGGAAGAAAAAACAAAACAAAACAAAGGCGGGGCTAAGAATACATGTGGCTTTGCACATATATATGTATCGCATTGTGTGTGTGTGTTTTTTTTTTGCTGCGTGTGTGTGGATGCCTTCTCTCATTGTTCTCATAGCGGAGGGCTGTGTGGTGTTTCGTCCCGCCGCGGTTCGTGTTTCTTCCCTCTTGCTTCGTTTCTGGTGTCTCTTCGCTTAGTTCCAGGAAGGTGGTGGGGCGGCGGTGCATGGCGTCTTCCTGCTCCTCCTCAGGTTCTTCCACTGGCTCCTTCCCCTTGGCGGACGAGGGCAGCGTTGTCCGTGAGGTTGTGGCTTCGCTGCAGCTGCCCCTGCAGCGACAGCAGGAGCTGCTCACGCGGATACAGAACTGCGAAGAGGAGATAGAGAAGTTGAAGCTCTACTCGTTGCGCAGGCCAAGTGGGGGCCTCCTGTCCCCATCGGAGGCTCAAAAAGGCAGTGAGTGGAAGGCCGGGTGTAAGAACGGCGAGTTGGGCGCTGGGGCAGAAAGGATGTGCGATTACTGTTTCAAGGTGGCACGCTGCTGGCCCTGCCAAGAGTGCGAGCGTGAGTGGTACTGCAGTAGTCCTTGCCAACGTCTGCGGGAACATGTGCACCGTCCGTTCTGTCGGCATCGAAGACAGCTGAGGTGACTCCACAGCCGTCATTTATGCATGTACTACTTCTTCTGCGTTGAAGTTGTGTGCGATGACGCCTCTTTTTCTGCTTGCCGTTCTTCTTGCTCTGCCACGTGACGCATTTTCGGTGCGGTCCATCCCCTCGTACCACCGCCTCATCTGTTGTCTGTTGCCGTCGCAGCTCTTCTGGTGAAGGAGGGACTACCAAGGAAGATAAGGGGCTGGCTCAACTGGGAAAGAAAGAAAACGAAAAAAAGAAAAGTCTGGTGCAGACATGGACCAGTTGCGGCGTCTCGCTCTTAGCCTCTCGGACCCGAATTTGTGGGAGTCGCGGGGGGCGCGGCTGGAATTGACTCGCTTCTTGGCACCCGAAAATCTTCGCAACGTGTGGCTTCACGGCGAGCAGGATACGGCGGAGACGCTCCTCCGCGAGGCAGAGACGGTTGGGAGCCCCGAAGTTTACGCTGCTCTCGGCGATGCCTTTAAGCGGCTCTTTGACGCGGGTGCCGGCGGAGCAGCTGCGGAGGAGTTCATCCGCTTGGACACCTCGCACATCGTCACACGTTTTCTTGTGAACGGCATGGCACACGAGGATCTCTACAGGGCGGCAAGTGTGCGACCGGCACTGATGCGTCTGATGGCTCTGCTGCCGCCCGAGCTGGCGCCGCCTGTGGGGGAATTGTTGTCAGCCGCCCTACAGAACGAGCGGGTGCTGCGCTTGTTTGACGAGAATAGCCCTGAATCCCCAGAGAATGAAATGGTGTGTCAATTCCTGCTCCACTACACGGTGTTGATTTCATTCATAACTTCAACGACGACAGCCGCGTTTGAGCACGACCCGCTTCTTGTAGCCAACTACCTAATGATTAGTTGTATCATTTCTAGGCACGTGGCGATACCGCCGGAGTTGCTTGAAAAAATTGAGCGGGCGCTCGCGGACTACGAGGATGTGTTTGTGTTTTGCTCCGTTTGCCGCGCGTGTGCCACGTCTCTCCAACATCATGAACTCAACGCCGCAAGGTACGCGTCTTCATGGGGAGTGAAGGCTGCCCGTCCCTTGTCGCAGTGTGACGATGCCACTCGAGCTGCCATCTATGGCGTGCTTGGCGCCGCAAGCACTACTGCTGCCGGATGGCGCAGTGTCTATCCGTGTGTGCGCATAGAGGAGGAGATTGTGCGCGCGTTGGGCGTCGCCGCGCTCCGACCCGGGGCCTTAGGCTTAATGGATGTACTTGTACAATCTCCACATGTCCCAGACTTATTTTTCAGCTCCTCGCTCTTGCAGACTGCATGGCGGTTGCACGGAGACACCGATGATGTTACTCGAGAGAACTTGTGGCGTTTTATTAGCGATGGCTTGACGCGAGACAGCATTGTGCTGTCGTTGGCATCACCGTGCGCCGCATTTTTGTGTTCTCTGACGCATGAAGGCAGCGTGACTGTGCGTGAGCTGCAGCTGCGGGTTGCCACTTTCCTTGTGAGGGGGGCAGGCCTTTCGCAGGAGGTGGTGGATGACCTAAAACAGTTTGCTTCACGGGGACTCTATCCGCCTGCAGCTGTCGGTGTGGAGGCGATCGCACCGCGTTGAAGGCGTCTAGTGGAAATAGACGTATATACATGCATCCACTGCTAACCCTTCCTCCCGTCGTTGCCGCTCGCCATGGGGGAGGAGCGATAGGCCCTTTTGAGGTGCGGCCCAGAGTGGAAGCGGGGATGCGTGCGAGAACACTCTGTTCGTGTTTTTTTTATTGTTCTTACGATGCGTTCACCATCATTCCTCCTGTCAATGTGGCTTTCTCCCTCTGTTCTCTTATTCCCGTATTTTTTTTATTTGCCTTTTTTGCTATTGCTGCTGCTTTGTGTGCCCTTCTTCTTGTGGAGGGAGTTCGGGTAGCTGCGAGCGTGAGAGTGTGTGGTTGCTGTCCCTCGGGCCTCATGTCTGTCCGCGAGCGCGCCGTAGTGCTGATCGATGGCCCGGCCCTAGTGCACCGCTGGTACCACCGCTGGAGCTACACTAGTAAGAAGACCCCGGTGGACGTGAAGCGGTTTACCATCACCAACGCCCGGCACATGGTTGCCACGGCGCACAGCTTTGACCCCAGCCACCTCGTCCAGCACCTCCTCTCCCCGCAGGTAGAGTACGCCCACACCCCGAAGCACAACAAAATCATCGTTTGCTTTGATCAGGGGGACGGCGGACGGCGCGAGATCTACCCGCACTATAAGGAGAACCGCGAGCAGCGTGAGCACGCGGTGGAGCTCTCCGTGATTAAGAAAGTCGCGACTAAGGTGTTCACGGGGGAGCCCAAAAACACACTCCTTGTTCTTCCTGACTTCGACGCCAAACTCAAAGATGTGGACGCAGAGGCGGATGACATGATTGCCACCTTAGCGCTGCACAACCAGCAGCTTAAGATACCCACGGTGGTGATGTCGCACGACTACGACCTTTACCAGCTTATAGATGAGGCCAATAAGTGCTACCACTACGATATACGCACAAAACATTTGGTCTCCGAAAAAGGTGTCATTGAGCGTCTCGGGGTACATCCGAAACTTGTCCGCGACTTCAAGTCCCTTGCCGGTGACTCCTCGGACAACATTCCCGGCGTGAAGGGTATAGGAAAGACCCGCGCCCTACAGCTGCTTAAGAAATACGGCGATTTAGAGGGTGTTCTCACAAAAGGCAGCAAAAAGCAGGGCGGACATTTAGGTGACCTGTTACGTGCCGGCGTGGCAGATGCGGAGCTGTCGCGAAAATTGGTGGAGCTGCGAAACTGTCCCAAAATACTGAAAGCCTGTGAGGCCTTCATGAAGCTGTAGTCTGCGAGAGCGAGAGCGGGAAAAGGGAGGCACTCGTTGTTTGCCCTTTCTTGTTTACTAGAAGGTGAAGCCGCGGCGAGAAAACACCTGCCTCGCCCCCCTTCCCCCCAAAGAAACGCAGGAAAACAAAGAAAACACCAAGAGGGGAAAACGGAATTCGCAACAAATACTCCATAGATTCATTTGTCGTCTTGTCTTTGCATTTGTTTTTATTGTTCTTTTTTTTTTGTTAATGCACTGTTTGGGTGGTTGGTTGGTTGTTGTTTGTTTTCGGTGGGGTGTGTGCGCCCGTACTTGTGGCTGTCCCGCCTTTCTGCCACGTAGAGGGGCGCGTGCCGCACACCCCGCCCTTTAGCAAAACACAAACAGCCACAAAACAAAACAAAAATAGAGGGGCGGGGGCGGCGTGCCCGTGGAACCAACGTAAATAAAAAGAAAGCAACGGCGGCAACTGGGGGGAAAACGAAGAATCCGTGCAACAGCCCATGGTGCCTTTTTTTTTTTGCACCT